CGTAAGACGCCAGACTGCCTGCGGAGTGGCCAGCTGCCTGTGGCGAGCTGCCTATGCCGAGCTACCTATAAGGTGTCGAGCTGCCTATGCCGAGCTGCCCGAGCTGCCCAGTCGTCAAGAGGCTACACTTGGTTTGCATGAGGTGTCAGGTGTCACAATTTCACTGGAGGGCCAAATCCACCCTCATCACAAAACATACAATAGTTGGAAGAATGAAATATGAAAATTGGAAAATGGAATAAATTAATAAAATATAATAAAGTTACAACTTAAAAATAAAAAATTATGTTATTAAAAAAATCAAATAAATTAAATAAAATTAAAACAAAATTTACAATAATTTATGAAAATACTATACAACTATTGAATATACAAAAATATTGGCTTTATCATTTCTCTCCTATTATTCTTGACTTTAAGCCTCGACAATATTGCCCCCCACGTCTCATAGTATATCTCTGCCGTGTATCAGGGACATATCCCGATGTTTGATATATCAGAAATATATATATTCCCACTACACGACGAATTTGAAAAAATATGAATATACAAAAATATTGGCTTTATCATTTTTTCCTATTATTTTTTACTTTAATCAACCCCAACAATATTGCCCCCCACGTCTCATAGTATATCTCCGCCGTGTATCAGAAACATATCCCGACGATGTATCAGAAATGGATATGTTCCCACTACACGACGGGATGTGCTGTGGAACGTGGCCATTATGGAACCAAAAAGGTTGTCATCTCTCGTCTCTACGATATCTACGATATAATGCCGATACTTGACTTGACTTGGCATCTCATGGTCATGGTCAGTCAGCTTAGATGGTCAAATACTCACCATTATTTGGGTCATATTTTATTTTTCTCACCCCCATCTGTTTTCTTCTTTTCCTTGGTGCAAACGAACGTACCACTCAACTTTTAGTATTGAGAAACTGATAACCAATCGACCGGCATCATTCCATTGATCATCTTATTGATTCAAACTCACGTGGTTTCTGATGCATTAAAGTTTGTGAGGTATCATACCTTACAAATTGCCTACTGGCCCACAACACGTGCTTACCTTACAGGTTGCAGTGCCGTGGGATAATTAATGCTTGCTGACAATCACACAACACAACATTTTAATAATACCTCATCGTTCATTCCGTGTGTTTAGTTTATTCATAATCTTTTTAGATAACATAGTTTGTTATCTAAAAAATAGTTTGTTCATAATCATGCCATGAGTTTAATAACAAAGTACCCACATGGCCACATCTTAAATTCTAGGCTGGGTGGGTTTATGATTTTTTGGGAAGAATGACCAATCAGCCCATATCAGAATTTTATAGTTTGATAATACAGGAGGAATGCATCTGACCGTAAATTGATACCAAATTTATGGGTGGTTTATAAGGGAGAAAGGGCTAAAAATAGGAGAGCTGGAATTCATAATTCTACATCGGATGTATCTGTATTTCTCCGTTTTTCTTTGGGTTTATGATATTGTTTTGTGCAAAGGAAAAGTAAAATAATTTCAAATGATGTATCAATCATTTAAGTTCTGAAAAATAAAATTTGTCAAGCACTTTTAGGCAATGATTTTAAAACCGAATTGGAAAAATTGGGAAGGAATCACTTGATCGGTTCTGTTTTACCTTAGAAACATCATTTTGACTAAAAACCGTTGATTTAGTTAACAAATTGCTGATTCGGGTGTTTAAACCAATCGAATCATTCAATGATTTTTTTTGTCATTTTTTATTATTTTTATTATTTTTATTTTCATTAAAATGAGCCATCTATTCGATTTGAATAATCAGACCATTCAACCTGGGAATCAGACCCCTGAATGGTTTACAGAAATAGGGTTTAAAATTGGAATAGAATATTATTTCAATTCCAACTGCTTAGTTAAAAGGAATTAGAATCTCATTCTCTTATTTAAGGGAATGACCATTCCCTCGCCCTCCCTTCGGAAAATCCGAACCAAATAGAACTATGAAAATAGACATTCCTATTCCGATTTCAATTTTGGTTCCGTGAAGTGTGAACAATAGAGGATAGATTCTGAATCTGAGTGTGAACCAAACGGATCCTAATTTTTTAAGAAGTAAGAATCACGCACGTCTCGGTAGACATAAATAATTAACAAACTAGTTGTATGGGGCCCACGCGGCTAGACCTTGGCCTTCCAGTCCCCAAGTCGTCAGAGTCAACATATCGTTCATACGGGCAATACTCAGTAGGAAAATCCCCCCGTTCTTCAAGTTTGGTTTCTACGGTCCACACCTCTAACGTCTTCTAAAATGCGCCGCTAATGCATCCTTGCCTAACCTACCTCTCTTCCCCCTTTACATATTTCACCCAATGCCCCCGCATCTTGAGAGTTGAGACCAAGGCTCAACACCTACGTTTGCAGCAGAGGCAGAGAGCCAGACAGAGACAATTAGGTCTGCATCCGTCTAATTAACAAGATGAAGATGAGGAAATCCGACAAGCTGCCTTTGCTCATCGCCTACCTCTCCGTATTCGCCATTACAGCGAGGGCTCAGAGCTTCAAGTGCAGCGGCTCTACTACAAAGTGCCAAGCTCTGGCTGGCTACATTTCGCCAAACAAGACAACCCTTGCCGACATCCAAACCATGTTCGGAGTTGTGAGATTACAGCCTCTGCTGGGAGCAAACTCGCTCCCACTCAACACCACATCGGAATATTCTGTTGCTGCAGGTGAGACGATCAAAATTCCCTTCCCTTGTACCTGCGACAATGGTACCGGAGTCTCAGACAGGGTCCCTGTCTACAAGATAAAAAAAAACGACGGCCTATATCACATCGCTGCGGAGGTCTTTTCGGGATTAGTGCAGTACCCACAGATTGCGGCCGTCAATAATATCTCCAATGTGGACTTAATCAAAGAAGGGGATGAGCTGCGGATTCCGCTTCCCTGCAGCTGCGATAACGTGGACGGGCTGCAAGTCGTCCATTATGCACACGTCGTCGCCAACGGGAGTTCGGTGGAGCAGATCGCCCAGAAGTTTGGGACCAGCAATACCACGTTGCTGAGTCTCAACGGAATCACCAATCCCAAAGATCTCAAAGCCGGCCAAGTTCTCGACGTTCCTCTCAGAGGTTTGATCGTTTTAAGTTTTCACCCTCTTAATCTTTAATCCTCATCCTCCTCGCTCAGAGTTCAGAGTTCAGAGCTCAGAGCTCAGCCCCAATTTTAGGTTATAGGTTAAGGTTATTAACTTACTATATAAACAAATATGCAAACACGTCTGGTCTGCACGATTAGCAAATTCCCTCGCGCATCGCTTTAATCTGTATAAATAATTGATATTTTTTTCTTGTTTTTTTCAGCTTGCGCATCCAAGGTAAGAAATGATTCCTTGGACTACCCTTTATCGGTGGCCAACGGCACTTACACCTTGACGGCCAACAATTGCGTCCAATGCAAGTGTGATTCTTCCAACAATTTTACGTAAGTAATCAATCACCTTATTAGAGCCTCCTTACCCTTAAAAGCCAAATGGACAAGCTTTTAGTCGAGACTCTGGACTTGTGATTGATTGATTGTTTATTATATATAACCAGAGAGAATGATACATTACCAAATTCGGAGTTAGTATTTTGATATTTTTATTCAAATATTCTGATAAATTTTGTTAATAATCATTTAGGTTATTATTTTATTTGATAAATACATTTGTTGTTTAATTTAGGAGATTAAATCCAGTTAAGGCCCCGTTTGATTCATGGGAATAGGGGTCTGGAATTGGAATCATAATAGACTATTTCGATTCCAACTGTTTGGTCGGACTGAATTAAAATCCCATTTCCATTCCTGTTAGAATGGCCATTCCCTCATCCAATTCTCATTCCCATTCCTATCTGAACCAAACAGATTATAGGAATGGATCATTCTGATTTCAATTCGGGAGGATTTCATTGAGAAAATAATATATCACTTGTAAAATCTCTAATATGACATATTAAGGCTGATGGTGTGAATGTGATGGCATCAGATTACAATGTGAGCCATCCTCATCCAAAGAAATTAAAGTCTATGGCTGGTCTCAGTGCCCTGCTATGCAATGTTCAGGTCTAAACAATTTAACTCTCGGAAACCCCACAGTTAATTCCAGTTGTGGACGTACCGTCTGCGCTTACGCTGGATACACCAACGCCACCATTTTCACAGTCCTCGACTTGGAAAACACCTGTTCATGTAAGTATCCTCTTTTAGTTTCCTTTTTATGTTGTATACATTTGTGCAGATGTATAGAAACGAAGAATGTGATTGAACCTACGGTTTGGTTTGTGTAATTGTGTTGTTGATAAACAGCCTCATCGCCGTCTGGTAATTTTGCTTCAAAGATCAGTTCGGAAGGGTCGACTTGGAGGCTTATTTTCATCTCTCTTCACATGAGCTTGCTCTGTTTTGGCCTTGTTTGGTAGTTGGGTGGATGCCCGGTTTGCCTCTTTTTTCTCCCTGTACACAATAAAGAACCGGATGCTTGATTGTAATATTATTGGTTATCTTCTTCTTTTCGTTCCAATTTCGTGTTGATTAGTTAAGTCAAATTTGTATTTTTCATTGAAGAATTTAAGAAGGGGTGATGCAAGCAGGAAAAAACGGGGCGCCCCTGTTCTGACTTATGAGTTTTGTTAATCACTTGAGACTAAAGTGCCTTGTTTATTACATATGTCCATGGTTTTTAAAACCGAATCGGTCAGGGGTCCGGTTATCGGTTACTGGTTCAAATGGTCCGATCATTTGACCCGAATGATCGGCCTGTTCTGACAAAAAATAAAAAATTTAAAAAAATTTAAAAAAATTGAAAAACGATCAAAACCATTTGAACAGTTAACCAGTCGGTTCAGCGATATAGCCAAAACAATGGAAGCACCTTTCAAGTCTCAACAACAACGTATACGTATCACCAATGGAATTGGTCTCTGGCCTCTTTGCGACCCGGTTTCTTCGGTGACTGAAATGAATGTTAGGAAAAGGCTTACATCTGTCGCATGTTTTTTTTGGTAATGTCTGTCGCATGGTCAGACTTCCACAATTCCACTGTTAGGCATCAAGAAAAAAGCTCTGTAAACGATAAGGTTTTTGTATAGATTGGAATGGGACCAGGCTGAGGTCACTGAGCTAACTCTTAGAACTAAGAACAGTCCAACTGTCCAACGCAACCCAAGATGAGGGAAAGTTCTTTTAACAAGTTTTTGTGAAATTCATTTTTAACTTTCCCTCAACTTTCTGCCTCTTATTTTTCTATCAAACCAAACACAGGATTATGGTCTTGTGAAAGCAATCAACATGCTTGCCACTTTCATGAGGAAAAGTTCTTTAATAAATTTTGTGAATTCCTTCTTAAGTTTCCCTTAACTTCCTATCTCTTATTTTCCTATCAAATAAATTAAGGTCTTGTAAAAGAAATCAACATGCTTGCCACCTTCATGAGGGATTGTGGGTAAGTTTTTTATCAAATTTGTGAAATTCCTTCTTAACTTTCCCTCAACTTTTTGTCTCTTATTTTTCTTTTCAAACCAAATACAGGATTGAGGTCTTGTAAAAGAAATCAGCATGCTTGCCACTTTCATGAGGGAAAGTTCTTTAACAAATTTGTGAAATTCCTTTCTAACTTTCCCTCAACTTTTTGTCTCGCATTTTTCCATCAAATCAAATACAGGATTAAGGTCTTGTGGAAGAAATCAACATGATTGTGAGGGAAAGTTCTTTAGACTCAGTTTGGAAGCAGTATAAATGCAAATATGTACAGCATAAATACATACAAAATAATACAAAATATAAGGTTTTACACTCTACATATTTGCATTTGTACTCCTTCCATACTCAGCCTAAACAAAATTGTGAAATTCCTTCTTAAACTTTCCTTCAACTTTTTATCTCTTATTTTTTCTATCAAACAGGATTAAGGTGTTGTAGAAAAAATCAACATTATTGCCACTTTCCTTGCAATTAAAGTGGAGTTCCTAATGCCACTAGAAATGTTCACTTAACTCCGCCGTTGACTTGGCTGAGAGTCAGATAGAAAAGTAGTTGACTCGTTTCTTTATATCTCAGTCATATATTTTGTCGCCACTACATCTCACGAGGAGCAATGTTTAGGACCTACCGACCTAGTGGCCTGATCACTCTCAATTGACGGTGATGTAAGTTCTCATGGCTTGGTTTGCATTGTTCTTGTAGCAATTACGTGTTATTTGATTTCTACATGTTTTCCCCTTTTCCTACTTTTGTTATTAATGGGATACAGTTAGGTTTGGTTTGATAGAAAATAAGAGAAAGTCAAAAGATTAAAAATTTCTTATAAGAAATTTTGTGAAAGTTCCTTAAAAGAACTTTTACTCAACTTTCTGTTTCCTGTCAAACCGAACACAGTCAGGAGATTTTTTTTTCCTATTTTTCCTCTCAGTCATCATGTGACCGTAACTTTTAACGTTTGATCGATTCTAGAATTTTTTGTTTAAAATGGCTTCTTGCAAATGTAAAAAACTAAATGATTTTTTTTTTGTTTTTTCAAACAAGCTTTTTTAATGCCAAAAAACTGTCTTCAGCTTTTTCACCAAATAAAATTTTAATTTTTTAGGGTCTGTTTGGTTTGAGGGAATAAGACCCATGAATCGGAATTGGAAGGGGTCCAGATGTTTTGTTCGAGGGAATAGGACCCTAGAATCTAGAATGGGAATGAGTAGGCGGAATGATGGGGGAATGGCCATTCCTGACCCCCTCCCCCGGAATGTGATTCCCATTCTGCTATTAGTAACAGTAACTAATCGTGCGTGATCTGGGTGCTCCTAGCTGGAGGGCTACTCGGACGTCAGTGCTCTGCTGGCCGATCGAACTGCAAGAGAATGGATTAGAGAACCTAGGGTGGATAACCCGATGCTTAAGTTAGTACTTGCTTAGTAGATTGTGAACTGCAAATCAGTAATCTAGAGAGCTAGAATGCACTAAATCATGCGTACCTAGGTACTGAGGGCTGGTGCCTTTATATAGCTTAGCTGTTGTGAGCCTCAAGGAACCTCTCTGAGATCTTTGAACTGAGAAGGAAGAGTCCATTCCGCTTCAAAAGGTGACCATCATGCTAGTTGATAAGGCTTATCGTGTCCACCCGATTTAGGCGGGACGAGGATAAGGCTTACGGTTGCGTGGCATGATCTCAGACGGTTCGAAGGAAGCTAGCAGGCTTCTAGAATCTGCTACGTGTCATCTTCAGCAGATTTGGTCATCCGAGGTACCCAGACCTCAGTGCTTATTCGAGGTGACAGGGGCACCCAAGGTGACTTGATTTGCCGAGGTGGCGGGTGGTGCCGAATCATCATCTAGTTGGCAGGTAGCGTCTATGTGTCCCCTGCTTATCAGGTCGGGCCAAATCCCCCATCATCAATTGCCCCCCACTCCTTGTGTAGGGGTCCCGATCCGGTGCAAGGAGTTCATGACAAGCTGAGGTGGACTTGGCCTTGGTTACCTTCAGGGCCAATAGCCGATATGGCGGTTTGACCTCAATGACCCGCCCGGCTTGACCAGGAATCCAGATTGCGTATCAGGAACGCACAGACGTCACGTGAATTATTTAACCTTGCAGATGTCAAAATGCGCGCTCAATTGATTTCAGCCTCGAGAAGCGTGCAACTAGTTTTCCTAGGAGCCATCGGATCACATTGATATTGCCTATCCAAAATCGACTACAGTGGCTACAAATAGGGGCTCTAGGGTCCCCATTTTCTTCATTGTGATTTGTATGTTCGTGGTCTGAGCTCACGCATCTGCTTCCAAGTCGGTGTCATCTATCCTTGTCTTCGGAATCGTCTCCTCCTCTCTCCAGTCTAGGTAAGTCTCCTTCGTTTCTAGCTTGTTTTCCTTCAATTACGATGTCAAGTATTAGCACTGATAGCTTACTAGATGCTAGTAGCGAGTTAACTGGAACTGATGTGGACTCCTCGGGCCAAAAGGTAGAATTTAGTCCTGCTGAGGTGGGCACCTCGGCACATGGCTCCGAACCTAGTCCATCCGAGGTGGACTCCCAATCAAAGGAGCGGGAGGACTCCAGAAAGGAAGCCTCGACCTCCCGTAGTTCTTGGAGGCCGGGGCCAGATTGCTTCGGTCCTTCCGTGATGACTACGGAGAGACTCCAAACACTAGCCTAGGATCATGATCCCGACGAGGTCGTAGTGTTCGAAGAGAAGCTGACAGTCGGGCTGCGCTACTAGCTCCACCCGTTCATTGTAGAGATCCTCAAGTTTTTTAACATCATCATAGGCCAACTCCACCCGAACTCAATTCACTCCATAGTAGGTACCATTTCCCTGTTTCCTCACTTCGACTAACCATTGACCATGGATACTTTTAGCTCGATCTGTTCCATCAAGAAAAACTTTGCTAGTCTCTCTTCTTCTGAATACCGTAGTTACAACCTGACCCCCTGCCCTGGATATAAGATCTTGTACAGTTTTCCCAACAAAGTCCAAGCTCGGAAGAGGCGCTATTTCCATGTTACTGTGGCTGGGGGGTGGCCGTTTCTGATGCATTGGAGAGCGGCCATCAGTGACCCCGACATTAAGCTAGATAAGGACATGAAGAAACAGATCCGCGCTTGGGCGAAGCTCAAGTTGGAGTTGGACATTTTCCTGGTTGAGGAGAAGTTAGTTAACACGGGGCTGAGTCCGAGTAGGTCTCCACTTTGGTTTACACACTTAGATTTTTCCCACTAGATTCTCTGCTATGTCGATGTCTGTGTTACAGGTACCATGGTGGTCATGGAGACCGATGAGGTTGCTGCTATGAGCACATCCATGGAGGTGGACCTGACAAAAGATACCGAACTTGTTGAAGGAGGGCGCAAAGAGCCCCATCAGGATTGACATTTTCCTCTTTTCTTGGACCTCTTGTACATATGTAATGCCCCGAGCCTCCGAGCTCGGATAAGTAGTTGCTTCTTTTTCTTTTTCCTCTCTTTTTTTTTTAAATGTATTGAGCCCTCTTTTGTAATGAATCAATGAAAACATCTTTTGCTTTCCGTCTTGTGTCCAATCGTGCAAAATTTTTCTAAGTATAGATTACCCCGAGGTGTCGAGCCGGTGAGCTAGACATAGGTAGGAATAATCCGAAGTCAATGTAAGCCAAAGTGAGCTGACACTATAGGGTATGTAACCGACTTGTCTGCATGCCGATGAGGCTGAGCGCAAACTACTTTATTTTGCCCATGCCGGAGAGGCAACTAGGTCTTATGTTGCCCATGCCGAGGAGGCGATCGGGTCTTATGTTGCCCATGCCGAGGAGGCAATTGGGTCTTATGCTGCCCATGCCGATGAGGCAACTAGATCTTAATTGGTGCCGAAGTCTTTTGTCAACTCGGCTCCATAGCCCTTAGGCTACAGGAGTGACGCATAGTCCACTCTCCAATTCGTGTTTCGACCAACTCAGTGATCTTCTAGACTTAGAAAATTTTTTGAAATGTGTCTAACTCGCGAGCTCACACGTCGTATCTCTTCAGGTTGTCGATGTTCCAAGCCCGGGGTACCAGCTTCCCTTCCATCATCTCGAGATCCTACATTCCTTCTCTGAACACCCGTCTCACTCTGTACGAACCCTCCCAATTTGGTCCGAGCTCCCTACACCGGGCTCAGGTACTGTCACCT